CGCCTGGGCGAGCGCCTAGCGCCTCGGGCGTTTTTGGACCTTGGCGCCTTTTGGCGCCTAGCGCTTTTTAAATCACTGGTTTGATGTCTGGTCCATTTTCCCGAGCATTGATTCCACTGGCTTTGGCCAATATTTATGCTGTTTTGAAATTGCTTCAGTACCTTATCTGTTTGTTTCTTCAATTTGTAGATCTTTTCCCAGTTTGATGTTATAGATACTTCTATTAGGAACATCATTGACATCTCATTCTTTGTCATGAATTTGTGCAGTTAGGTTTAGCCATTCTTGCTTTCATCAGGACACAAATTCATTAGCAATCATGTTGATTGTTGGAGCTTGTGTTAGAATGTACTTAATATGGCAACATGTTAGCAGGGGCAGCCTTCTAATGTGTTTCCCTGTATTTTGGCCCTCTAGGAATTGTCTTGTAACTTTCTCATAAAATTATAGTTCTGGTATTTTGTAAGTCATTTCCAACAATTTCTGTAATGTCGTTGCATTTTTTTTGTGAGTCATTGTTGGATGGTTGGGAGATGGAATAAACTGTTTAGCAGGGGCAGCCTTCTAACACATTTACCTATATGTTGGCCCTTTAGGAATTATCTTATGATTTTCTCATAAAATTATGGTTTTGGTAATTTGTAAGTCACTTCCAATATTCTGTGTAATGTAAGTGCATTTTTTTGTGTTTTTGCTGGATCATTGGAAAATGGAACTTTCAAGCAGGTATTCATTTGCGAACAAAAGTTATACACTAGATCACAGCTAAATCAACACAAAAGCACCGGTGATTCTGAAGTGGATGGCAATGAGAGTGAACGTGGTGGCTTTATGGGCCATCCTACGTGTGAGTTCTGCAGAAACCGATTTTATGGAGATAATGAACTTTATATGCACATGTCAACAGAGCACTATACCTGCCACATTTGTCAAAGGTATGTTTTCTTAATTTCATTAGATGAATTATCTTGAGAACGTTATGTAACATTTGTCACAATCATTTGCAGGCAACATCCTGGACAATATGATTATTTTAGAGATTACAATGACTTGGAGGTAGTGTTATAAATCTCTATTTTCTTGTAATTTTTTAGGGATGCTAGATCTACTGCAACTGTAATTGAAAACACTTATGTAAGACTTTTAAGCTATACATGCTCTTTTCTTTTGTGTTACATAACAGATGCATTTTCGCCAAGAGCATTTCCTTTGTGAGAACGAGGCGTGTTTAGAGAAGAAGTTTGTTGTTTTTCAAACTGAATCAGAGATGAAGGTGCGATTATGTTGATTGTCCTACTTCTGTATTATTTTTCTTTTCATTTTTAGATACTATCATATTTTACAAGACACCTTCAAGGCTAATCCTCTAGTTAATGCATCTTCCAGAGGCACAATACTCTTGAGCATGGGGGACACATGTCTCGTTCTAAGCGCAATGCTGCACTCAGGGTATTAAACTAGTCCTGATTTTTTCTTTCTTTCTGCTGAAGCAGTTTTTCACCCGAAGTAGTCTATAATAGTGATAATTCTTTTATCTATCAGTCATTACCTTTTCTTTACTTGGGCCTCTGTTGTGCGGTATTTATTTGTCTCCTTTTATTCCCTGATGTTATACTCTTCCATTCAGATACCAACTAGCTTCAGATATCGACGGAATGAACAAGAACAACGCCGAGGAAGAGGTCACGGATTTCGGCCTGATCCTTCTGGTGACCAGCTATCTATGGCAATACAAGCCAGCCTTGAAATGGCTGTAGCTGATGGGAGATTTCAGGATTCTTCTTTTGGTTCTCGTATGAATGCTGAGCATGGGGAGACGAGGCGGGCTGATGCAGTCAGGAATTCATCAGAAGTCTCAAATGTTAATGCAGGTTCAGAAGCACCTTTAAGTACTCCATTGTCACTTAGCCAAAGCTCCAGGACAACACCAATACTAGAAGAATCGTCTTTCCCTCCCCTTGGTGATAGAGAGTTACCAGAGCCTTCTTCTAGATATGCTCAAGCTCTCAGTCAAAACTCTAGAAATGCGGTCAAACTTAGAGAAGAATCATTTCCTCCTCTACCTGGTGCAACTAGTAAACCAAAGCCAATTCATGGATCTGAAAGTTCGTCCACAAATACTTTTGCTGCCCGTATTCAGCGCAACAGAGGCTCTGTAGTTGTCAACTCTGCTCCATCTAGGCCACCAGAGTATCATGAGATCTTCCCATCCGCTTCTCAGTTGAGAGCCACACCAAATTATGGTTCCACATCATCCACTTCAACAAGTTCTCAGTTGGGAGGAAAACCTATAAGAGAAAATGCACATAGATCACCTTCATCCTCCAGTACTGCTTATAATTTGGGTACTGTTAATAGGATGAAGCATTCAGCATCAGCTCCTAACCTTGCTGAGGGATCATTTTTTAACCAAGCTGTTCCTGGTGTGTCTTCTGGTGCGAAGGGAGAGGAACCATTAACTCAAAGTAAGCAATCTCTTACTGTCACAGGGGACGTCTACACTGCCAACAAGTCCTTGGTTGAAAGGATTCGAGCTGCCTTAGGGATGGATGATGATATGTATGGTGCATTCAAAAACTTATCCTCTGAGTATCGGCAAGGCCAAATCAACACATGGGAGTACCTTTCTTATGTCGAGCAATTTGGCTTGTCGCATCTTGTTCCTGAACTTGCTCGGCTCTGCCCTGATGGTCAGAAACAGAAGGAACTAATTGATACCTACAATGCCAATTTGCAGAACAAAAGTCTGCAAGAAAATGATGGCAGCAGTCGTGGCGGTAAAGGTAAGGGAAAAGCGGTAGCTCGTGCTCAATCTAGTGCTAAAGATTCTTTAGCTGATGACTTCTTGGCTTCTGTAAGAAAGCTACAACTGAACCAGAAGCCTCAGGAGGATGGGGTGGAGGTGCTTTCAAAGGGTGGCTACCGAGTCACCAAGGATACATTTCAAGTGTCAGCTAAGCAAGTTCATGGTAATTCAAGTTCCGTTGATGTGAATTCCACTGGGAAAAGTACTGATAGGGAATCCCAAACTGGTTCAGACGTTGCAAAGCAAAATTTAGCTAATGAAGCTAGTGGTAAACAACGTAAGAAGACATCAAAATTTCATAGAGTTCGTCTGGGTGACAGTTCAGCGACTGCACTTCTCGATCTTTCTCGCAGGGATACGAGCCCTGAACCTACAGAAAACAGAACTGCTGGCGATGGGCCACCCGATGGTGTGCCGGTCCGAGGTGTTTGGCGAAGTGGCGGTGCACATAGACTTTTTGCAAACTCCAACAGGAATGCCTGAAAACTGACAACCTTCAATGGTGAATCCGAGGTCAGGTTGTGCCATCACCCGTCGATTTGGTGTCAGTATGAGGCGTGCAGGAAGGGAATAACTGAAGCTCGTCGCCTTCGGGAGTTGGAAATGGTTGCAGGATGGTTTGTGGTTTGCAACCTGCGATTCTTTTTGCAAGTGTAGTTTATGTTCTCGATGAGCAAAAGTGTTTTGGATGTTTCCTCAGATACAATGGTCTGGCTGAAAAATATTTACAGATGTAGAAGTTTATGTTATTGGGTGCTCCTTTGTCTCAGCGGAAACTACGGGCTGATACTTTTTATCTTTGTTTAAAAAATATTTGGGGTAACATTTTCTTGAATTCCAAACTATGCGGTTGTTTTCCTAGCTGGGATCCAACTCTAAGCACGAATGTAATCCAATAAATTGTGCTGAAATTTATCTTAGATTTCTCGTAGAGAGGAAACAGTTTACAAGAAAATTGTGCAGAAAATAATTTTTATGATTATAAAATGATCAAAAAAAAGAAAACCCATTGGACAGGATACAATTTGGATACAGACAAGAGTCTTGAGGAGGAGCTCAACAACAATTCACATAGACACCAACACCCCCCCCACCGGGAAATAATCCTTCGCACCCCTATATTATATATCTATCGGATTAATATATATCATTCAAAACTCTTTTATCTGATCCATAAAGAAACTATAGTCGAATATCCGGATTAGAAATAAAAGATAAGATGAGAAACAAAAGATAAAATGAGAGAAGATATATAATATCTTAATAATGTTACATATTCCTATCATAAAGAGTCAAGGGTCTAAGATAAGTAATTAGTAAAGTCAAATTTATCAAGGTCATCTCTTAATAAATCATAACTAGATTTATGTTCTATTGATTGATAATCATAATTAGAATTTAATCATATCGATAATATATCTTATCTACTCTCACTTGACCCATTAATTAGTAAGATATAAAGAAAATCTAAAATCTAAAATCTAAATAAATAAAATAAAATTTTATTTGAAAATAATTTATTTAATTATATTATGAAATTTAAAAAATTACATATGCACACAAATTTTATAAAACAGGCCAATAAGCTAATAAATATAATATCACATTAAGTTTGACTACTAATGCGAGTTATAATGATTGTATATTATTAATGTCATACTTCTTTTTATTTGCTACAATATTGTTAGATCTTCCTAATATAGTCTAAAATAACCTATGTAATTTGTCTTGCCAACACAATTTTATTAGCACATTCAACTATAATATATATATATATAAATATATAAATAACTTTAATTATGTAAATAAGAATATCAATTATAATGTCACTCAGACATGCATTGTGACATCTTTTATGGGTTGCTCACAAACCCAAGAACATGAAGTTCTAAGTGAATAATTTAATTTATGAGGGATAAAACAATCTTTTTATTAAAAACTCTAATTGACACTTCCTTTCTACGATCGCTATGTGAGGCATGGCCAGCTATGCATGATCGTCGCCTACGCGAGGCACCGTAACCATCATTTATGGTCACTACGGTAGGCACGACTGCCACTACCGTGCATAGTCATCGCTTGCGTGGCCTCCTCACCCATGTTGTGCACACACACACTGCTCAGCAACCCTGCGACTATGCACACATGTTACCCAGTGATGTCGATCGCGACTAGCAGATGTCGTCATAGGGGCATTGCTGTAATTATTGCAGTCGCTATGCGTAGTGATAATTGTCGTAGCCACATAGGCAGCAACGCTGCTACAACCACCATAGGGTTATCGTACCCCATAATGCTTGTATTGGGTATGCAGTCGTTGCCCACAATTGGACAGGCAACCACCAAACGTCATCGCCCTTAATAATATTATCATTGACAACAAGCTATCAACATTGGTCCATCGATTAAATATGAGGAACCTCGCATTGCTTGCAAGCAAACAATAAGACGGATTGAATAAAAAAGTAGATTGACAATACAAACAAATCAGTCAAGCATCGTAAATCAAAATCGAATAACATTTTTTCATAAACGAAATATGCTAACAAATAGATCTAAAGTATTTGATTTTACAAACATAGCTCTTATACTAATTATAAGTATAAAAATCATTTTTCTGCTATTGTTATACAGAAAACTTTGATGCTAAAATCTAAAATCAAACAATAATATATTAAATTTATAATATGTACCTTTCAATATCATTCAGAAAGTTTTTATCTGATCCGCGGGTGCATCATCGTCGAATCCAAAAGTAATACGATGCCTATCTATAAGGAGAACTAGACTCATCTTCTTCTATCTTTCTATCCTTAAAATGATCGCTATGAATAATGGATTAGGGACAAAGGAGAGATAAGAGAAAATCTATAATCTCTTATTGAATAATTCAAGTTAGGGAAGATGAGAGAAGATCTATAATCTCTCATTAATGTTAAGTATATCTATCTCTACTTATTCGCATATCCGCGTATCTACATCTCAACTTTGAATCCCTATTAGGTCTTATATATTTATAGATAAAAGTAAAGAGTCTAGGATAAGTAATTAGAAAAGTCATTCTCTCAAGGTTATCTTAAAGAATCCTATCATAATTAAACTTTCTTTCTAATGGCTAATAATCATAATCAAAATTCAATCATATCGATAATATATCATACTTAAATAGATAAGATCACATAATCTAACAACTAGGAGTCGAGTCAAGTAGCAACCAAGCATCACATCTCTACAATAGTTACACATCGATCACCCCCTTAGCCCATGCATTGTAAGAATCCACCAAAAGGAGGAGAAGAGAGAAGAACACATAAGCAGTATCCTAATGAAACAATCATTGAAGTGTATTCTGATAAGCCCAGCGACGACAACTCTCCGTCGATGATTACATCTTCATGTAGAATCCTACATGAAGGGATGTTAGATTATGCGATATTATTTAAGATATATTATAAATATAATTAGATTCTGATTATAAAATAATATGATCTCTTAGGAATAAATATTAGAGAAGATGTGTTTAGTTTTGCTTATAGATCGACATTATTATAACCTTTGAATACGATGATGATACTCTTGCATATCAGATAAAGACTTTTTGAATGATATCAAAAGATATACATCATATATTTGATATATTATTATTTAATTTTAATTTATAATATTAATTTTTATATAATAATAATAAACTATAATTTCTATACTTACCGATGAAGCCATAAAGAGCGCAACAGCGATGAATAGGATGAAACAAGAAAGGAAAGTGACACGTATTCTTTGCTCAAAAGTATGCCTATGGTGGAGTGAGCTCGCTCTGATGCATTGGCAAGCATTCGTTTATACTCTCTTCCACGGAGAGAAGAGAGGATCAAATGGTTGATTAGCTGCATGTTTACAGAGTAAGCCCACTGTCTTCATCTCTCGACTGTCTCCAATGGATTGACCTATTCCTTGCGTTGTGTTGTTCATGCATTTGGTGGAAGAAGCTTCTTGCAGCTTGCATTTTGCTGTCTTTACCTCTTTCTTGTGAACTACGTCTCTGACATGAGGCTTAATAACACTCTTAAATTTGATGAAGTATAGAGCTTCACTAGACTCGGTCATGCTAAGATTTATGAGGCGCAAGAGGAACCAGTCAAATAGCAAGTGTCATGTACAACCTATTCTCCAAGTCCAAAGATCTTAATGTTTAGATTAGCCAGTATACTGCTGTTTAGCACTACCAATCATATCATCACCCGAGATATATAGTTCAGGTGCCACTACTACAAGCCTTTTCTTTTCCTATGGTTATAGATTATATTAGATCGTTCACCTATGTGTACATAATGTCATAATAAACAAGTACAAACTTCCTTTTCGTTTCTTACGATAAGAAAAGACAAACACAAACTAAGCAATGCAATTCTAAACCTCATTATCTTTTTTATGATAAGAGAATTTTATATTATTAATTTAAGCATAGAAGGGATCATCAGGTTAAAAACCTCATCCAACCTTAATCTTTATACAGGTAATATCTCGAAGTCACCTCTGACCACCTCAAAGGCATCTTGAATATTTTTGTACATATGAGTTTCAATCACTCTGTCAATGATATTTTTCCTTAACATATATCATTTCTAACTCAATAATAATTATACTAACATTATTTATGAATAGTCATTTTCTATTCGAACCCTTATCATATCCAATATTAACTTAGATATAATAACTTTTATCACGATCCAATTTAATAAAATAATTAATCTAAATCATAATACATTCATACATCATATTATTCATCATAATCATTTTCTTATACATAGTTTGATCAGATCTAATCATCTCCTCTTCTCACTTATGCTAATTTATAATAAGTATTCTCGAAGGTGTTTCTTTGGTAAAAACTTTAAAAATTTACTATAAAATCTTGGATTTAATTCTCACCTTTGCAAACAAGGCTTGTCTTGCATCATCTTAATCCATCTTACCTCTAATCTCGTATTTTTAAATGAGATAAGACTCATTAGCTTTGTCCTTTATATATATATATATATGTATATATGTACTATTTTTCACCTACCTTCACATAATAAATTATTCCTAACACAGATGCCATCCACTATCTAATATGTCCTTTTTTGTTCCAACCCTGACAGAGATTTGTATGCCTGTGGAAGTCAGCTGTAGGGGAAATGACAAGTAAATGATGCAACTGATGCACAGCCATTCATTCATGTCTTCCAATAAGAAATCTACTTTATTAATCTGTTGACTGTCTCTAATGGATTGACATATTCCTTGTTTTATTCATGCAAGTAATCGTTTCTCCATGGGTTTGGTTTCATTATTAGCTCCATATTTGCCTTAAAATGTGTAATAAAATAAGCATATACTGCCTGCCGGAAGAAGTTTCTCACCGCTTGCACTTGCTACAATTAATCTCTAATATTTGTGGAAGATGACATGAACCTTAAGACACATTTTACAGCTTGCGCTTGCCACAATTAATCTCTAATGTTTGTGGAAGATGACATGAACCTGATGACAGATTAATGTTTAAACTGACGACATTAGATTATACTCAAATAAAATATTATTTTAATTCATACTTGGAAACTGTTAGAGCTAGCCCAGATAATTTGGCAACGAAAAAAAGATAATAAAGTAGAAAAATAAAAAAGATAAGAATACCATATTTACGTGGTTCGATCAATTGACCTACATCCACGAAGAAGGAGCAAAACTCTACTATAAAAGGAATAATTACAAATGCTTTAGAAAAATATTCCTATGTTATAAAATACCTAAAAGTCCTTATTTATAGTTATAATAAGAGATAACAAGCTTGATTTTTCCGACGTGGGACTATGTGGGACTTATCAAACTAACAGAAACCACTAAAGTCTATAGGAAATAGTATATTGAAAAAATAGAAAACTTTAACCAAAAGAAAAAATATCATAATAAAAATATATTAAAAAAATTTAATAAGAAAACTCTCAAAAAAAATAAACTCAATTTATTTAGATATTTTATAAAGATTTTTTTCTACTTGAATTAATCATAATCCTTTAAATAATTTAAATCTATCACACTCCTAAATGACTTACTAATCCAATACATAATTAACACATATATCATAAATAAAGCCGGCATTTGACTTGTGTACAAGGAAAATGTTTCTTGCACGAGACTTCCATCATAAGTAGCAAAGCTTACAGATACTTAGTTCTCGTGTATAAGGGTGACATGAGCCTTTGACTATTCAATCGTATTGACTATTGTTGCACCTAATCCATATATTACCTCCACCCTTCTCTCGAGTCAAACCCGCAACCATCTCTGTCATGGATTCTCCAACTCTTACGATTGATATTATTAGATTATAAATATCACTCTAAATCATCATTACAATGGAAACTGATGATAGAGATTACAAATTGTTGGATATTGGAACGTGGATAAAATGTAATACATGATAACACAGACTTCACAGCGGATGTAATCGATGATACACAAGGGTCTCATATACAAATCATCATCATCATCATCGGTTCACGACCCAACACTGCTTCCTGATCTCCCCATGGCTTCCGGTGAGCACGTCGATGGAGGCCATCTTCACCATGGCGGCGGCGAACTTGGCAGCCCAAGCTGGTCCATTCTCGGCGTTGCAGCTCACCGTGCCCGCCGTCAGTGGGCTCGCCTGCAGGGTTTGATCGGAGAACAGCACTCCCCGGTGCGTCAGAAGGTTCTTGTAGTACTGGTTGTCCAGCCTCTTCGGCGTCACTCCATCGAGATGCACCGTGGTTGGGTCGGTGCTGTTGATGTTGACGGTGGCCGGCGAGCACTGGCTCTTCAGGTAGGCCGCCAGGGCCGGGTCCATCGACGGATCTTGAGGCTGGGAGGGGCTGAAGTTGTACAGCCGCCCGGCGAAGGAAGGACAATGGGAGCGGCCGATCGAGTGAGCTCCAGAGAGCGTGACCATGTCGTCGAGCGACAGCCGTTTCTTGGCGAAGCTGCTCAACAGATCCGTGACGGTGAAATTGGGCAAGGGGATGTTGCCGAGCACCTCCGACTCCAGGGAAACTCTTCCGTCGCGCCTGCCGGCGGGCACGGAGTAGTGGATGCCGCCGGCCAGGAGGGCCGAGTCGCGAGCCGCGAAGGCGATGATGTCGGCGCATGAGACCGTGCTCGGGCAGCGAGCTTCGAGTGCTGCCTTTGCTGCGTATATCACTTCGAAGCCTCGTAAGCTCGGCTTGTTCGCCGGAGACTCCTTCTCTGCCTTACTCCACGGAGTCGAGTCAAGAAGCACCGAGGCATCACACCCCTGATCAAAGATACATATATACTGCTCCTTTAGCTCTCAACAAGAACCTTGAAAGCAGAGGAGAAAGAAAGCTTACCCTCACGAAGCAGTCATGGAACTGCATTCGGATGAGCCCGGCGGCGAGGCCAGGGTTCACAGCCACCGCCATTTGAACGGTTGCCCGCACGATGGACTCCGCGAAGGGGCATCTCTCCTTGTAGAAGTCTACCGCAAGGGAAGCATACGTTGACGAGGCCATGGCAAGGATCAAAACCACGAAGAGGACAGAGCGACCACGAGAGATGACACCCATGGCCGCCTTCAGTTCCTCCTCGAGCAAGAGAGAGAGAGAGAGAGAGAGAGAGAGAAGACGATAAGGATGCGAGGTACAAGGGTCGGCAACATGCAAGGGCATTTATAGGCGGCTTGAAGAGATCCATGGCCGAGACGGAGCTCGGTTTACCGGGTAAACGTGACGCGCATCGACTGTCTCGATTTGTCGTGGTAGATTACACTCGCTTTGACAAATTAAATGAATGTTCTAATGCAGCGTCTCCATCAAATGGCTCGGGATGGGATTCATGCAAACAAGCAATCACAAAGCACGTATCTTGGATGGTCAGATTTCGCTATCGGCACTTGGTCAAACATCGTGATTGATTACTCATGGTTGACTAATTCCGCAGGCACGTGCTTACTGGCGTGTGTAATTTGACGGTCCGGTCGAGCCGGATCTGATTTGGGTTCTGTGTAAGGATCGATCAATTGGGCTGTCACCGTGTGAATGCATGTAGCCGCTTCGATCCAACGGTCAGCGTCGGAACGGCGCACTCGGTGTACGGTCCAAGGGCACGCCGACCGCAGGTCGATAGGCTTGTTTATTAATTCATGTGGGACTCGCACCCTAATCATACCTCTCTTTTTGCTGGAAAGCAACCACCGGGTCCCACATGATGACATAGTCATCATAAACCAGTGCTCTTTGAGTCCGCCTGCCGATACGTGGGGTCCGGAGGGGGGTCCCGCGGTCGCAACCAATCATTTGCATCGTATCGCCACCGTCTGATCCGAAGGGGTAAAACAGTCATTTCGGCAAGTTATGAACTGGGAACCGTCTGATGCTGATCGAGCGACAGCATCTGCGGCGAGTCCTAACAGTGTTATGGTCATTAAGCGAAAAATTATGCTGGATTTGAGGGCTCACAAAAGTGGGATTAAAGCAGTATTAACTGAAGATTAGTCAATAATAATAGGGAAATTGCAGAGTTTAATTACGGATAAAATGATAATTGTAGGTGTTTGGAATTTAAAGTACGAAAGGCCAAAGAAAAGAGTAGTACGCATGAGAACTTCGAAGGGAAGCGAAATGTGTTATGAGTACCCAAAACTGAGACAGGGGAGGAGATCAGAACCCTCGATTTCTGCTTGCCAATTTAGGATTTTGTAGGATTGGTGCCGTTTGGAACGAGTTGTCGGATCTCTAAGTTCGATTTGCGCGTGTTTCTTGATCGAATCTGGGCGGTCATGGAGGGATTTGCTTGGGATTACGGAAGAAGATCTTGGTTTATGGGTTTTTGCTCTGAAATCAATTGAGCGTGGACATGTCCGTGAAGAAAGTTTTGGGCTTTTTGATTGTTCACCGGCGTTTCCGCCGGGAACCAGTTGCTCAGCGTTTCTTCTCATCCGTGCACCATCTAGGTCTTCTGGCCTTCTTCTGCAGCTCAGCAAAAGAGTTTAATGTTCTTGGTTAGGGCTCGATTGTTATGAGCCGCCACCACCACCTAAATGGGATTTCTTTGTAGGAGGGTTGAGTTCTTGTATTTGTTTCTAAATGATGCCATTCTTGTTGATGTGATTTCTCTCTCGATCAAAAGAACAATTGTTTATGTTACATGCTTGCTTCTCCCCTTGGCTGTTCTATATCACCATCTCAAGAACTTCCAGTGACTTAAATTTCCGGAAACAAATCAAAAAGAAAATGAACTGCTAAAATGATGGCCTAACTATTGACTGGAATAACAATGAATAGAAGATGTGGAGAGTCCCAATTTCCTTTCACATCCATAAATCCAAGAAATCAATTCAACCATACTACTTCAAAGAAATTCAACTGAATTACTTGGTGGAATTCATTCCAAACATACATTATTTGCGCGATAGACATTTTATCAGTTCGAAGAACACAAAAGAGAAATAGAGATGATGCAAATGAGTTAGCGTGAAGGAGATGCAAAGGCTACATGCAAATTGGAAGCAAGTTGGAGACACAAACTTTATACCAGTTCATACACATATGCAATGTCATACAACACCACAAGGACACCTTGGAGACTTAATTGCATATGGTCTTACTATCAAAATCCAATGACACCCATGAAGCATAGATCAATTTCATCCACCGGCTTTCTGCACATACTTGAACTCAGATAACTACACCAACCATCTCTTCCAACTGCATTACATCGACTTCATATCCTCAGCAAGGCGAGGATGCGATAAGTTCAATATAATTCACGACATGCATGGTTTTGAACGTGATAACATGCCAACAGGTCCAAACAGGAGAGCTGCTCTATTCGGGGACCTGACTTGAGGAAGGTGAGTACTAGTGCGGTGAAGCAAGCACTTTCAAGAGGGAAGCAACAAACTCCATTTGGGTTTCCTCATCGATCGTCAGGAACAGGGGGACATGCACAAAGAGAGATTTGATTCTGTTGTGTTCTGCAAACCGAAGAGAATGATAGTATACAAAGTTGCAAACGAACCGACCAGCATCATCGGAAGGCATTACATCATACCCCATCTTTGATAAGCCCTTAACAATTTCACTGACAGGAAGAGAAGTCTGCAGCAGTCCATAAGGGAAAAAACATTAAAGTTCTAATGATTTAACAAACTAAACTGTAATGGCATTTGACGTCCTCAGAAAATAATTATGCTATCATGTATTTAAATAACTTCTAAAGATCCTGATGTTTCAAAAATGTCTTCTAAGAGAAAGGTAACAGGAGATCTTGTCGATGCAGAAATTTTCATACTGATAATCATAATGGTCAGCATACCTCTCGAACACGTGAGATGCTTCCATCAGAAGTTACAACTGGGGCTCTCTGAAAAATGAACAGCGGAAGGCAATGGATCATAGAACAGTCGTAAAGTAAAAGCATGATGCACAGCTAAAAGAGCTTAGCACATCTAACCTGAGGCTTCCATCCCATTTCATCTGGACAACGAAATGTAGCCTCATTGACTGCTTGATTCTCGATAGCAAACCTTGTAGCACCACTATTTACTCCAAGATGCAGCTGATAAAACAACATAAACCCAAACAACAAATGTGTGAAAAGACATGATTGAAAGAGAAACCAGGTTAATTGAGAAAAATAATCACATGCAAAGATGGACGCTAGGGTCCAAGTACATAATTAGAAAGAGAAAGAGTGACAGGAAGGATGATGATCAAGATGCTAAAAGAATGCAATGGGCATAATGAATTCATTTTTCACCAAGATCAAGTAACACCTGTAATATAGCAAAAACATTACAAGTTTCACATCTGGCTCCAGTTGCTTTACTTCAGGATAACTATAATTACAGACTTATGAAATAATCAAGCATTGAAATCTTAAGTCCAATGGGCAGAATACCCAACCTGAAAGCTTCTGTTGTATAAAAGACACAATACATGACGGTTTTGCACCAAGAGTTGTTGGATGGAATTCATATAGATGGTTAGACACCAAACTTCCAGAACCTAATTTTAAACCCTAGGTGTCTTCTGACCTATTTATTGGCATACTTTGTCTGAGCCACATTATTTGATATAGAAAATCTTATCTCCTTACTTCTGGTGAGTAAAAATGGGATGATTCAAAGAAAACAAACTGTCATAATAGCAGTTCTGCTAGCGAAATTTGTTGATCAACATCATAAAATTATTAGACTAATTGCTGTCATGCTGAAAATACCAATGCTTTGTGTTTTCCAATATGGGACCTCCCAAACAACATCAATTCGACTACACTCAAGATGCAGAAGAAGTTGGTTAGTGTTTGGTAAAAACAAAACAGGCTCCATGGGGTTGAGTTTTTGGATTCAAACAAAAGATAAGAACAATAAGCATAATAAGCTGATGAATACCTATAAAATTACTATAATCATATATTGTAATTCTACATTGCCACTCGAAGATAGCAGAATGAACTGAGTGGTTTACCCAAATGATTTGCCCCCTTTCTGAAGTTTCTTTGTTTTGCCCAGTCACAGCAAGCTGCAATACTTCATAAAGTTGAGGAACTGCCCCCTCTCCAGCTGTCTCAAGAACATTGCAGCTTCCAAGAACAAGACCTTCAGGCAATCCTTTCTTTTGCATGAACCCCTTCAGGTTTCTGACAATTATCTCTGTTGGATTCTCAGACACCCCATGGAACTTCTTAAATCCAGTCACATGAACAGTTACAACTGATGGCCCTTCCGAACCCATTCGCCTTTAAATTTTCAGGTATAATTGATTGATGAAGTCTTCCCTTGTCTGCTGCTAAATGTATGCTTTGTTGAACAGATGGAATGTACCTACAAGATGAACTATATCATGTCAATAAAAAAGAATCTCTTTTGAATGTTACATGCATTTCTGCATACTGAGATATAAGGATCCCAAGAGTCCTCTAAAGAAGAAAAAAGCATCAACAGAATAAAATTATGGCCAGTGGATGAAATCATGAGAAAGACCTGAAAGTGATTTGTGCCCAACCATCGACGAGAACATCTAAATGGTCCACAAATAAGAATCAAAACAATGAGTTCGTTACAACTCATCCTAGCAAGCATATTGGCAAACAACAACCATTACTTGGTTCTAGTATTATGATGAAGAACTAATAAAACCCTCGCACACTGTAATCCACAGACAACAACCACATTCTAAAAGAGAAAATTCGTGTAAAGACGAAAAACAGAGAAAAAAGATCAAGAAACCGAGAGCCTATCACGAAAAGATGCCATCTTTCTCGAATTTTGACGCCGATCGATCGACCAAACAACCAAAGTTCTCACCTCGGAGCCTCCCGGGAAAGTTCAAGTAAAGGCGAAAAACAGAGCAAAAAGATCAAGAAACCGAGAGCTTATCGCGAAAAGACGCCATCTTTCTCGAATTTTGACGCCGATCGATCGACCAAAGAAACAAAGTTCTCACCTCGGAGACTCCCGGGATCAAAGAAACGGCAGACAGCAGTAACCCCGATCTTTTCGATAACTTCGATTAAATTGAACTTCTGGCAGTGGTGACGAGAGAGATCAGAATCGGTGACGGGAGGAGAAAAGGGCAATGGAGGGAGAGAGATGCAACGCAGAAAGGCCACGGATTCCTTCGTCGGATCGTAGGGATGAAACGAGACGTGATGAGATTGGGGAGAAGGAAGAGTACAAATATCCAACGTGCCAACCTCGGGTCAGGTCAAAAATATGACGTGGCGATTTCTTCCTCCCTCCCTCGCCCTTAATTAGATTAATGAATCGGATTATTAGATTGGTTTGCCCTCAAATAAATTTGCCGTAACTGACTTGTTGTTAACCCAAACAATTTGGTGACACCATCCAAAAATTTTGGTAATCCTAAATTGATAATGTATATCTAAAATATACTTCATGCTTTATTAAGAACTTTTAATATTTATAAACATAAATATCGTCAATATATCACTTAATTCTAAGAGCTCTTTCAACTTCTACCATATACGAATTTTTTTCTTTTTTTCCTTCTAATAGTTATATATCTTTTTTGTTTTTGGGTGAGGAGGAAAGTGCTTTTACATCTTGACATGATAATGATAAAGCCAATTAGTTTTTCTGTAACATATAATTTCAAATATTAAAATTATTTCAATAATGTCACTAATATATGTTGCAATCGAGTTGATAGATTCAATTACTACAATAAAATTGTATATAAATGACATCTCAAATGGAAAAATAATAATATAATTTTAAGAAAGAAAAAAAGGTTCAATAATGACCATGTCCTTTTGTTGAGCCATTAGAAAAACTTAGGATGAACAATCACATGACTCCATGTCGATGAAATAATTCCATATAAAAGTGCATATGATTGAGGATGTGATTCATGATTGCATATTAAGTCAATGTGGGTCTCACAGTCGATAACGAAAGGAAATATATTTTTTACTTTCTTTGGATGTATCAATTATTCCAAAAGAAATATTCCATTTATTTTGTATCAATTATGCATATTAGGATGTATCAATCAATATTTCATTAATTTTTTTTTCAAAAAAATGAAATATATCGACTTCACCAATAATGCATCAATAGTACTTATTGATGATTTTACACTTATCCTAATTAATAAATCATGAAGATGTTACTTAGCCTAACGATATTAGACATCGGGGCTTTTTAGTAAAAATAAAATATTTTAAAAAGGTTAATTATATATTTTCAAAAGATATATTAAGATTTTTATATTTATAAAATAAAATATTAAGATTTAATTCAAAAAATAATTTTGCAGAGTTAAAAATAAAAAAAATTGTTGGAATAATATATTTAAATATTTTTATTTTTATAAATATAAAAAAAAAATATGTAATTTTTGAAAGTATAAAGATGATAATATTAGACACAGAGATAATATATAATTAGTCGGGGGACGGTTACGATAATATACATTCGATGAAATTTGAATCGCGGTTTGAGCCGGTCATGCGTCGCGATCTCGGTGGCTCCGCCGATCGCGCAGCTCTGCTCCGTTCGACTCCGCCCGGTTCCCGCTGGCTCTTGATCCTCCCGTGAGTCTCTACTTCTCTCTCTCTCCACCAATCCTTACTAGATTCCTGCCTATGATTCTTGATCTGTTTGGATCTTTCTTCTTCTTCTTCTTCGGAAAACCCACACTGCAAACGAAAAAGGGTTGCAATGATTTGTTTGAAATTGTCCGACCACGCGTATTTGAATTCGGTTCATAGACGGAATCACTGCATTACTGACGCCAACAATTGTTTGATGTATTGCTGCAAACAACTGTTGTATGCCCTGTCCTACAGATGAGTAATAGGGTAGGGACCCAACGGTGTTCCTCTGCCATCACCATATGTTGTGCCTCACTTGTGCTTTGGGGTTCATTCTTCCTGTCCTGATGGCTTTCCAAGTTAGATGCATGAGTCACTACACTAGTGCGAGAGCAGGTGGCTCCGAAATGGGTGATCCCATCTAGTAATACTTCAAGCTGCTTGAAGTGGGCATTGTGCTTCTTTTGCTTGATGTCTAAGGTACTTTGTACCTTGATCTGCAACCGGATGATGACTGTGAGGTTTATGTGTAGCATGAAGCCATCGACACTAAAATTCTATAATTGTAGACCTTTAGCTGTAGCCATCAATAATTTGACTGTTCATGGAAGCCGTTCCTGCTTCTTGAATTGATGAAAGCCCTGATAGGTGATTTCAGGTCTTGTCAGATTAGTTTTATTGTCTTTTTCTCCTAATGCCTATAGAATTAGTCAAAATCAAATGACTTTTTGATGACTTGTTTTTTGCTTGTTTTGGAAACAACTAACAAGTGACCTACCTATTTTGCTACATTGTAATATCATAAAATAGAGGACCATGACAATCCTAAAACTTGGACAACCATTAACATGCATAGCGCATAAAGGTAGGGCATCCAGTAAAGACATCTATGTACATTAAGGTCACATCTGAGCTTTGTTTATTGTAGGGATTTTCCTGTAGCCAAATAGTTAGGTTTTGAATAAATTACCTTTTTGTAAAAGTATTAATACATCTAAAATCATAATTACTTACCTGAGCTGTATGAATGAGAATTTTCTATTGAGGCTCGTAAAATTTGGATAACTACTGATTTGTGGATCCCCTTTTAAGTATGGTTTGTTTATTATTGTTTCATCACCATCAGATGACTTTGCATGGTGACAATGGCAAAATTGCTTATATCCCTCCAAAATCAATGATTTTTTTTTTGTCCCTCTAAATTTAAGTTTAGAATATATATATATATATATATATATCACCAAACGTTAAAAATTTGCATATATGTCATCTTGGTTTATCTCCAATTCTCCATCAGTTGACTGTCATCTCATCATTAGTTAAAACTTTAATTTACATTACGAACCTTTGCAAACTCGTTATGATGGGAAGTACATTAAGGATTCTTTAGATATTATATAATTTTACATATGTCTTTAATTTAAATAAGTTAATACTAATTACAATTAAAAATGATGAACTTGAGTATTTTGGACAGATGTTAAGGGAAGAGGTATATGTGGAAAATCTTAATATTGGAAGGCATGTATGCTATATTAAAATCTGTAATAACAAATACACTATTTCCAAACTTTGCAAGGATAGATATGTAAAAACATCATTTAAAAATTTAAAATTATTGATCTCAAATGCATTTATGTTTGTGAATTCTTTGACTTCTTCAAAATAGAAACATACCTAGCTTGGAAGCAAGTCATCATCCCTTTTGTGTTGCTCTGCGGTGAATACATCAAGATTTTTCTATCAGTGAACATCTATGAACAATATCCATGCATCAGAATAAAAAGTGGAGATGCTTAATGAACTTGGAATTTGTTATTGAACTGAGAGTCTATATTACCCTGCATTCGATGTTAAGAAGGTGTTTATGTTTGAAGTTAACTTAGATAAATAATCCTGAAAATTTAATGGGCATGCCTTCTTGTTATCTTGGTAGGATCCATATTTTCAAATTTCTCTTGTTCTTCCTTTTATGTTGTTTCCATTATATTCTTTTTATCCCTTCAGGTTTCCTTTATATTCTTTTTATAATTCTGCTTAGTTTTTACTAGGAAGATCTGCTTTTAATACTTTTCTGTCATCTGTCGAGGAAAGATGCTGATCCATACATTTGCCTTCTTATTTATCATGGTATTCATGTTGGATTACACTTGCTTTCTTACATATCATGGTATTGTATTAATGAATATTTCTAGGTTGCATCAAAATGTTTTTTTCTCTTTGCTGCTTTCGGTACCATTACCAGAGTTTGTGGATTAAAAATTTGGATACTTCAGAAGCTAAAATGGCAGAAGAATTTTAGAAGATATGGGCACGAAAAGAATCCCAGTATTCTAGAAGTCTGAGGTAAAGATGAAATTCCTGATCACAATTTCATTATCATCTGAAAGGAGAACTATGGAGATATGTGGTTGTTTAAGTTGAATAATTAGTGACAAAAAAGGCTATGAACATGTGTCGTCTTTATTTGCTCTCTCCATTTAAAAATCTGTGTTTCATGATATGACTAATCATTTTTATGGTATAGCTGGTAGAACATTGTCACTGGAAAATGGATGCAGTTTATAGCCAAACAGACATATGATGTTTCCTCTCTCTCTCTCTCTCTCTCTCTCTCTCTCTCTCTCTCATGCTCGATATTTTACAGCAATATTTTTTATGTATTATAGTGGCTTTCTTGCAGAGTTATGGCTTTCTTTAGATCCTTACCTGTTCCAATTTTTCGTTTCACTATCTTTTGGCCTTCCATCGTTGGCTGAAGCATGCTTTGATGTACTCTTTTCTGATGCATGTGAATTATGCTCTTATGTTTCTGTATTGCATCCTTCCTTTGGGATGTTTGAATGACTATCCCTGGTATTTGGGCTCTAGGACCTGGTGATTTTGTTAATTCATTGAATCTTATCATGCACCATTCATCTCAAATTTTCTTGACTAATTGACTTTGCATTGCATGATTGTTATATTTTTATAAAACAAAAAAGAAAGTAAGAGAGAAGATAAAGCAATTGTAGTGTAGTAAACTGGATAAGGTATCATTCGAGGATAGTAAGCATGCTTAGCCTATCCATGAAATATCCAAGTGCCAAATCCTGGCATAATTCTATGCTCTTATCTGTGGCAAGTGATAAATGCCAACCAATTTCAGCTCTTCCACTAATTGAATAGCCTTTATGAAGCTGTTTTGTAGGAAAACATGTTCTCTGCTTACTGTGGTGCATTCTTTATTCCCTCTCTTATCCGATGCAGGGTTACTCTATTTTTCTTGTTGCCTAACGAAACTTTACTGGCTTTTGTGTGGTTGGCATGTTGGTAGGGAGACCTCTCTCCCTTGTTGTGATCCATCATCTGCATATTCTTATTTCAGTTTGTAGATGATGAAATGCTAACAAGAGCCATCTCTTGGTTATGAAATTTAGCTTTCTTTCATAAGCTATTTTTGTGTTTGCCATCTTACTTTATCTGATATCTTATCCACAACTTTGTTCCCTCTGTTTTAATCTGAAAGTTTGTCAAGAACCATTATCCTCTGCAGATTCGAGATGCCATGGTCTATCAGTTCAGTGTTTGTACTCAGTTAAATCTGTGACAAGCAAAAGGGAGCAAAA